GGGAGGGAATAAAGTGAAACTAGAAGGCAAGCCTCTTAAAAACTTTGCTTAATGGAAAAGGGAGGTAAGTTCAAACATGATAAAGATCACCAGTAACATAATATTCACTGATAGTTATCATTCTGTGGTGGTGTGAATTTTCAGGGGTTATTAGCATATGTGTACGTATTTATAACAGACATGGTTTCCACTATTGTGGGAAAAGTGTTGGTATTAGCAAGGAGAATAATGTTTTTGACAATCTTCCTAAACAGAATTTTAAAAAAATTCAGATCTGGCCTGCATATGTAGTTGATTTTGCAAGGTTTTTCCAGGGTTAGAAATTGCAGGATCACATTTATGATGCATATGGTCTCCTGATAACCAAATACTCTGAAAATAGTTCAGTTGTCTGAGAGTAGTGATGTGAAATTCTGTGTCAGGTTCTGAGTTTGTGTGCTAATGCTTGGTTTAACTCTTCAGCTGTGATTTTGTACACAGTAATACAACGTTCTAATGGAAACTTTAATACTTGTCTTGAATGTTGGAAATTATGTGAACTAATACCAAAGTGACCTTTCAAGTCACAACAATATTGCACTATGAGGGCTGTGGTGGAGGATCTGTCTGGTTGCATCGTGTCGTGTTATTTGGGAAGCCCGGCAAAGCCAACCTGAGCTGCAATGCTCTCATGATGGAACGCTGTACGGAAGCTCACACTGCAGCAGATCTCTCACTGTTAAATTCTGTGCATACATATATAGGTATGTGTGTGGCTTTCAGTTAGCCATACTTTGGTCCTTTGGTAATTGGCTCAAATCTGGGAGCTTTTAAGTGTCATATCACAGAAAGATGGTTGTTAGACTAACGGACCAGGTTTTGTTGGAAGGGACCCCAAACGTCACCTGCTCCCACCTCCTGCTCAGAGCAGGGCCAAGATTGTGTCCCTCCACTCAGAGAATCATCCCGCTGAATTCTGAAGGTCTGTGAGACTGAAGGCACTGCACCCTCTCTGGGCAGCTCGTTGCAGTTTAATTACTCTCACTGGAAATTTTGTACTTTTACCATGCTGGAATTTCCCTGACTGCAGCTTGTGGCTGTTTCCTCATGCCTGCTGCCAGTGCACCTGCGAGAAGGGTCTGATTCTGTCCTCGCTGAAACTGCCCACGCACGGGAGCAGGTTTGCATGTGTGATATGCAGATGTGGTCTTATCCTCGCTAACGTTTCCGCCTTTTGGGTTTCTTCTTCTGTTTGGCTAGCTCAGCTGTCGCTTTGCTGGGGTCTGATGACAGAAATGTGTAGGAGGTTTATGAAACAAAACATTTTGTCACATGCTTTGTCTTTGACTTACTTTTTGAAAAAGTTTTGAGGAGCACGAGGAGCACTCAAATACAGGTAAAATTCCCAATTCTCTCTCTAGAAGGGCAGTGTTATTGTAGTACAGCTGCAGAGGGCATCAGACATGTTGACTGTTCTTCAGCTTGTTTTTCTTTTTTTTAATTTCAAGTGAGTGAGCTAGATAAATCTTCTTTGATCTTTATTGGGATCAGAAAGATTCTTATTGTGAACTGCTAGAACATGTGTCTAAGAAATGCAATAACACATGACATGCAGAAACATTTCAAACGTTTGAGTTTGGCCAGTTTTGTGCTGCTACAAGAGCAGCCATCCGGAAGCTTGGGCTGCTTAAATGCGTGGTGAAGTTCACATCAGCAAAATATTTCCTCTGGGACTTCTTGGGAGGGTGAAGGACAGAAAGGAGGAAAGGCTGAATTCCAAGTACAGATTCAAGTGTTGCTTTTCATATTGACCGTTTGGAGAGATTTTACTTTATTTCTTTGTTCTTGTATATGGTCTTTATTCTTCCCTGTAAGTCTTTTCTAGAATACTGATTGCAAAACTCCTGCACAAATAACTCTTAGAAACCCTTCCACGGTACTCTGGCATTAATTATTCCTAGAATTTCAATGAAACGGGAAGACAATTTAATGAACTTGAATTTTGCATTAGTGATAGTCTGCCTTATATGCTTATCTATTATCTGTCCATCTGGCAGCTCACGTGCTTGTTGGCAGAAGTGCTTTTATTTCCTTTCCTGAGAAATTCTGGCATTGAATGTATAAACAAGCAGCACTTCTTTCATCTTTTATAATTCAGCGTGAAATTCTGAACATTATTAGTTAATTAATTAATATTAAATATGGTGCATTCTTGCTAATGCTAGTATAACGCTCTGAATTGAAGCATATGGAGTGGTACCACCTCCTCACAGTGAGAAGCTGGCAGATTGAGATCCATCTGTCAGCTGACACAAGCACCAGTGCCCGTCTCCGAGTTTACGCTGAGGCAATGCAGACTGCCAAGAGAAACTGTGAGTGGGGCTGAGAGCATCTACAAGCATGACAGTCTGGGGGGAGGGTGAGTGCAAGCATTGCTTTCCCCACCCCAGCTCAATAGATGCTTACAAAATTTACAGAATCTTTATTTGAAAATGTGTGCTGGCTTCTGGTTGCAGATTTAATTTATTAGTAGCAAACGCACACTGGAACCTGTTCTTACCAGTGTGGTTATTTACAGCGTGTTGCTTGTTTGCTCAGTTTACTTGCCTCCTTCCCCAGCTGTATACAGCCAGACAGAAAACACGCTCCCTTGCCCGAGGAGATGTTAAATTGCTCTCAACTTGAACTGCTCTGATGTGTAGTATGTTGCGCTGTGTAGGCAGCATCACCCAGGTGCTGCATCAGGGGTGTGTAGGAAAATATCTGGCAGTATCTGCATACATCAGAAATACCTGATGTTCACAGACATGGAGCTGCAAGAAACTAGGCTGAGAAAACAGCCCTGTTTCATAGGGATCTGCTGGCCTTTCAAGTGTACAGGTACATGTTAATCAGCTGGCAAATCCTAAAGCGTTTAAAGAGTTTGTCTCATTTCATCATGGGGGGAGAAGTTTGTGGTGTGATCGGCCATTTAGTACATTCCCAAAAGACATCTGTAGAGGCTGTCAAAGTTAACTCTCCTGTTTAATGTTAACTCAAATGAAATGTTATGTTTGTGGAATTGGCCAGAGAAACGTGGACCTTCTGAAGTCTCTTTCTTGGTGTGGATTAAGTTTGAAATGGCTTTCATTGAATTGTTTTTGAATATCCTCTTCCAAAATGATTTTTTTTTTTAATACTTTAGAGAAAGAAATTAATCCACAGGCTTATACAACTTCTTCATAGTAATAACAGACAAAAACCTAAGCTTGGAATTCCCCCCCACACCCCCGCCGGAGTATTTAGTATGTAAATCTTACTAGTTTAATTTCAGTTTTGTCTGCAAAAAAACATCTTGCACGAACTCCACACTAAGTTGAAACTTCTGTTTCTTGCATTTATTTTCTGATGTTTTGTGACTTCCTGTTATTGTGCAAAATTGACACTAATTAAAATAATCCATAGTGTGACTGGGAAGGTCATGTCATGAAGAGCAAACTGGTTAACTTAGCTGGGTGTTGCTCAATTTTAACAGAAGTTTTATGTTTATAGCATGCTGTTCACAGAGAAAACTGCTGGCAAATGTTTCTATTACAACTGTATCTTTGGTGTAAATGTACGATCTTTTCGTGTTGTCACTTTTTAATTTCTAATGGCTATATTCTGTGGGGGTGAAACACAGTTCCTCTCTCTGCTGTCGGAAGCAGACGTAGGACAGACAGTGGAACGGCAAGTTGTTAGCGTGGTGCTCTCTGCAAATGCTGCCCCTCCACCTTGGAGGTGAATTTTTTATTTTTTTTTTTTTAAGGCATTCAGGTAATTATATTAATGCCATATTGTGTGAGGACAGTTGACTTTGGGGAAAATTGCCTTACTCGTGAAAAAGTTGATTGGTTCATAAACCAAAATGTTTTCTAAAGGCTTGTAAGCTAGCGAAGCATAATTTATGTACAGTATCCTATTTGAAACTTAAATTCTTTGCTAATACATGGAGAAACCGGTTAAAACACTAAACAATATTCTGCCTGACCTAAATGTGCTATGATTTGTACCTTTTCGGACAGAATCTCTGCAAGTTGAAGGGGAGGAGGGGAGTCGGGACTTCAAATTTCATATCTTTTTTTTTTTTTTTTGAAGAGATAAATTCTGAAATAAGAGCCTAAATAATTTTTCAAGACTTATGTTGAAGGAACAGGTGAGTGACACTGAACCTTGGACTGAAGAAGGGAGTAAAACCCGTATATCAAACCCATCTTTAGTGGGAAGGTTTTCCATTACCCTGTAGTCTTTGGTCTGTCTTTGGGGTATCTAAGACATTAGTATCTTGCAGCTGCAACAGAAAATAAATCTGTGTTACAGAATTAGGCCAGATCCAGCAGAAGCGAGGCTACTGTGGCTCTCTGAGCGTGTGTTCCCAGAAGGGAAAAAGGTTTTCTTGCCCAGAAAGAGTTAGAAATGGAATTTCCTAAGAAGATAGGACAAGCTGCAGATCAGACAGTACAAGTGTACAGACAGTTGCTGTTTATGCATGAGTGACGGTTTTTATCCCCTTATCCCTCTTATTTTCCCTCACTTGTTCCTCCATGAGCTATCTAGACCCTTCCCTGCCTTTGGTTCCTCCTCTAAAC